GACTATCACTCTGTTTCAATAATCATCAGCAATTGGTCAACCTTGTTTTATGCAAACCACATCCACTTTCCGTTCTGCAATTCTACATGAATGCTTTGGAATGAATAACTGGTTTAAGATTCAGTTCATCATCACCTAGAATCCAGTATGCGAAGTTTCCAGATTTATTTGTATTTAATGGACACTAATTAACAGCATCTTTTCATTACTGATGGTGTTATCTAAGTATATGAAGAATAACCCACTTATAATGCCTTTTTATTTTTACTCATCCACAGAAGACCAAATGTCACACTAGAATAAATTATTCATTTTGTTAAATCAATTTTATATTTGTTGCTCTTATTAAGTCATTTTTCTTTCTGAGAATCTGAGAAAATACATTTGCAAATGTGACCGTGGCAAACACATAACAGAAAATCATGTATGCTTTACCTTTTTCACCAGTACCAAAGTTTTCAAAATGCCACGTCTCTATTTTCTGTGCCTTTTAGTCAAACTATATACCCAACTGCAGTTTTTTTCTAATTCCCAAAATACGACAAATTCCTGAATTGCTTACATTTAGATATATTAGTTAAATGTTTAGAATATTTGGAACTGATTTTAAAACCGATATAACATCAATCACTGTCTTGAAACACACTCGTATAGTGCAGAGCAATGATCTTCTCTCAGATATATTTTATGACCTAAAAATTTGATTTAAGTTATTAAATGTAAACTAAATTTGACTTTAATTATACAGTAGCCCCGCTTATCAGGGAGGCATGTGTTCCAGGATCATCAGTGGAAGTCTAACACCATGGATAGCAATGAACCCTATACACTCGAATACTGGGGTTTTTCCTATATATACATTCCTATGATAAAGTTTGATTTATAAATGGACCACAGTAAGAGAGTAACGAAATTAACTAATAATTAAATAGAACAATTAGAAAAAATATACTCTAATAAAAGTTAGGAGAATGAGATCCCTCCCACCTTCCTTCCATCTCTCGGCCCACACCGGCACATTGCTGGAGTAGGGAGTAGGGATCCAGGCATCACTATTTTTGAGAGCTCCTTAGTTGGTTTCAACGTGCAGCCAGGTTTGAGGACCAGTGATCTAGATGCAGTTGTCCTTAAACTTGAAGGCTCATCAGAATCACTTGGAAGATTTCTTAAAACACTGACTGGCTTCCTGACTCAGTGGATCTGTGGTAAAGCTACAAAAGTTGCATTTCTAACAAGTGAGGCTGATAAAGCTGGTCCAGAAACAACACTTTGAGAACCACCAGTCCAGCTCATTCAGTGCGAACTAACAAATACTTAGTGCTAGAAACGGAGAAGAGGCAACATTAGTCCAGCTAGATAACTGCTAACAACAAACCACAAGGACAAGACCTAAATACTAGAAGTCTCCATTTACCCATGCCGTTCCTGTCCTGCACGTGCTTCATCGTGTGTCGTTCATTTGCTCGGTGTGTTCCTTCCTTCCTTCCTTCCTTCCTTCCTTCCACCATCTTTTATTGAGTCTCTACACGTCAGGAATCATACTCCATTAGAAATAAAAGATCAAAGGAGGCAAGGCCCAGTCTAGAACCTTAGGTCCTCATCGGGAAGACAAGCGAGGAGCCACCCAATCAGAGTCTGGCCTGCCATCATAAGGGACGTGTAGCTAGCCTTGAGAGCACAAAATAAGATAGGGATCAGGGAGTCTGACCCATGTTTTTACAAGAAAAGTAAGAGTCGGGTTACGTGAAGCAGAGGAAAGAAGAAGAAAAACCATTCCAGGCAAAGAAAATTGCTGGTTAAAGGGCACAATGGCATATTGCAAACAACATACTGATGCCCTTCTGCCTGAAAATTGGGTGGGTGTTGGAATTGGGGAACCTGGTAAAAATGCGAAGGCACAGGCCCTGTCCGCGTGCTCCATTTGACCCTCCAGCTGTTTCTGACACGCACCACCAAGGGCACACACGTCACCTCTGAAAGACCACTGACTCCGAGGATCGTTATCCGAGGTCACGGGCTAGAGCAGCACAGGCTGTCTCCGGCGGAAGGAGAAGCCGAATTTGACAGTAGGCCAGAGCGGGCCAGCAAAGAGTAATTTGAAATTGTTTTTTTTTTACAAAACTGACAAATTGTTTATATCTTCTTCTTGTCATCTGGGCGTGCCCTGCCCCCAGGGCAGCCGAAGAGCTTTGGCTTTCTGAAGCAGGGGACAGAACAGTGCAGTCTGCCAGGCCGTTCGGCTCACCATCCATTGCAGCACCGCGCACGAGAAGGGCTTTTACACTTTCAAGTGGTTGCGAAAAATTAAAGAATCATATTTTTGACACATGAAAGTTATATGAAATTCAAATGTCAGTTTCCATAAAAGAGTTTTATTGGAACAAAGTCGAACTCAGTCATTTACAAACTGTCTGTGGCTACTTTCATGTGACAATGGCAGAGCCGAGTGGTTGCGAGAGAGACCTTACAGCCAGCAAAGCTGACCCTTTACAGAAAGGCTTGCTGACCCCCGCTCTGGAGAAGACTCTAAAGGCTGAAGGAGGGAAGTGATCCGGAGCCAGGAAGAGCTCCAGCTCCCCCACCTGGGCCAGCCCACTGGCGCCTTCCATGTATGGAGAATCTGCCTGGAGACCGGGCGCCCAGGTCTCAGTCCCAGCCTGTGCCTCAGGGGTAGCAGGTGTCTCCTGGGACCTTCTGAGCAGAGGCTTGGAGAAGGGCCACCAAGATCTGTGGCCCTGCGTGCTTTAGAGAAGGCGTGAAGGCCAGGCTTATCAGGAGGGAGAGCAAGCCATCAGCAAAGGCACGCACCCACAAGTGCCATCTTGGGTCCTCAGCATCGCAGCTGCAGGCAAGTTGAAATGAAGACCAGAGGCCCCACTTTAGCGGTCTTGGCCTGACTGGTCCCTAAACGAGCCTAGAGGGAAGAGCAGGGACCCTCTCCCCACACAATCTGCCTGCCAGGCAGGTGAGGGCTAAGCCAGGTGGGATGTGATCGAGGAACAAAGAGAAATGGGGCATTTCCTGATACACCACTGTTTCCCCACACTCTGCTCACACTTCAGATGCCCTTCTCTTCCACTGGCTCTCCTTGAATTCGAGCATGAAAGCCATTTTTCTTTCTGGCCACAGTGACATACAGCCAGAGGGAAAAGCTGGGCATCCCTGGAGCAAGATGGATATGCACACCTGTGGCCGCCTTCGCAGCGCCGCACCCCGCTGGGGTTGGCTGCAAGGAGGCAAGGCCTTCCTCCAAATATATCTGCTGGAGAACAGCCCGGATTTCATTTACTACTACACTCTGGTGCAGAATCTGTTAATATCTTCCAATTACCTGCCTCACACAACCATAGCTATTTTAGGCAGAAGTCACTTAAGGCTTCCTCATTACAGAAAAGCTTCCCACTTCCAGAAACTTCTAATCAAAGAAAAAGTCAGAGAGACCTTGAGCTTGAGCTCACCCCAAAGTTTGGATTTTACAGCTTTGTAACCAGGAGCTGTAGCAGTTTGTGGTTCTCCTGGGTGGAAAGTAAACATGCGCTTTGGACAGAGGATTACTTCATTTGGCAAAGGCTGCTTGAATGGACCATTTAGTTATGCAAATATAAAGCAGAGACTGTGATGAGTAAAGGAGAGGTTTGAAATGTTAAAACTGAGAGACTGGCAACTGAGAAAGTGGTTGTAGGCGGAGCTGCATCTTTGTAGGTAACGTCTGCCGTAAGGAAAAGTTTCTGATCTAGGGTGGACTTAACTGTCCTTTGGCCACAGCTTCTAGACTCAACTTTTAGAGGTCATCTGAATTCACCGGCACACAGGCCTTTCAAACTCAGCCCCGGTGGGTCAGTCTCTCACCTTCAGGTCTTGGACTTCTCTTTCCAACTCCTTGTTCTTCAGCTCTTGCTCTTGGTTCTCAAGGTGTGGTCCTCGGAACAGTGGCATCAGCATTTCCTGGAAACTTGTTTGACAGGACAAATTCCCAGCCCCCACCTCAGACCTACTGAATCAAACACCCTGGCAGTGGGCCCGGCAGCCTGCATTTTAACAAACCTTCCAAGGTGACTTTGATGGACAAGCAAAAGATCTTGTTAAAACAGTTTCCCAGGACAGAGGAGGACTGAAGGCACCTGGGGAAGGACTTGAGCTCTGAAAACCACTTCACTCCAGAAAAAAGACCTGGATCAATGAACTGAAGCTTGCTGCTTCAGCACCTACCTAGACTACTCGACAGACACCCTGTGCATTGGTTGAGACCTGACTCACTCTAAGCAGCCACTATACTCCCGAATCAGGCCATGATTACAGGATAGGGCAGCTCTACATCTACAAAAGAAGGCTTTCTTTTTTAAAAAATTTTCTATTTATTTGTACAGAGAGGGGAAGGGAGGAAGAGAGGGAGAGAAACATCCATGTGTGGTTGCCTCTTGCGCGCCCCCTACTGGGAACCTGGCCCACAACATAGGCAGGTGTCCTGACTGGGAATTGAACCGGTGACCCCCTGGTTCACAGGCCAGCTCACAATCCACTGATCCCCCCCCCCGCCCCGGCAAGGGCTATATTTCATTTTTTTTATGTGCACAAAAATACTATGAACTAAAATTCCATGCCAAAGCCTCAAAGTTACCTCAAAGAATATAAAAGTATAAGGGTTTAAGAAGCTTTCCCTGTAAAGGACCAGAGAGTAAACAGTTTAGACTTTGTAGACCACACAATGGCTGTGGCAGCTACTCAACTCTGCCAACATAGCAGAAAAGCAGCCATAGACAACAGGTAAATGAACCTGTAAATGAACAGGTAAATGAACGGCTGTGGCTGTGGGCCACACTGGGCCTGCAGGCCAATTTGCAAACCTATTATCAAAGTGCTAAAACAATTTTTTTCCTTCTGACTTCAGAATCCTTATTGAAGGCCCCAGTATGTAAGACACTTTAGTGCTAACCAGAGTATAAGAGGGTAGAGGGTTTCAAAAGAAACACACAAACAAAAAAGTTTCATGTCTTTCGGCTTCACTTCTTTAAGTCCTCCATCCTTTTTTTACACCAGGAAGGGAAATCGGTATCAGGAAGGGGCGGCTGAGGACGGATTATTTGGGGAGGAGCAAATGCGAAAGGCATAGTGGGAATCAGAGAGGAACGGGGAGGTCCCGGAATGGCAGCGGATGGAGGGAAACCTGCAATGCTGCAAGGAAAAGTGATAGGCCTTGGGCCGCCCTCCATGGGGAACCTGGGGCCTCCCGGTGGGAATCGAACTGGAGGCCCCCCTTCGGGGTAAGCCATCCTCCAATTTTCTGGAGGCGGCGGCATCATTATTCCCAATCTCGCAGTGGGATTACAGAGAGGACCACCTACTGGTGGGCCTCTGGGTGGAAAGAACCCTGGACCCTGTGGCAAAGGCACAGAAGGCCCTGTATTGCCACCTCTCCAAGTGTCCCCACTACTCAACCTTATCCCCCCCATTATCACGGAGGGAGGGACGCCACAAAATTCTCGGGACACATGGATAGGATTGGGGCCCATTCCCCTCCAGCCTGCCGGCCCCTCAGCGCTCTTTACTTCAGCCGTTGCTCGGGAGTCTTCCACAACAGCAGGGACTGGGCCATCCGACCGATTGGGAGCTCTCGAACTGTCCACAGACACGTCCGATGTTGTCTTCTTGGGGGGCTCCGGTTTCTTCGTGGCCAGATGGGTCCGCAAATTGAAGGGACGTCTCAGCGGCTCCCGAGGTTTACCCCAAGCCTTCACATCGTCCATCTGCCCGGGATTCACACTCCGGAAGATCCCGACGCAGCGCGGCTGCTGGTTCCCACTGTCGTCAGCATCCAACTCTATGAGCAGAGGGCCTCGCCCATCAGGAACACAGTCAGTGTTAGCCATGAGGAAAGTCCATCAGGAACGCCTTCTGCCACGGCGGAGGACACTGGCGATGGAGAACACCGGCTGAACGCCCACACGGGACAAGGCGGTCTGGAGCGAGGACTCCTGCTTCTGCCTCAGAGCAGCATGAAGGCTGAATGAAGCCAGGGACCAACTGCTGCGTTCTAGATTTGGAATTCTCTTGCTGGGGGACCAGTTGCTAGGAAACGGAATGACAAAACAATAGGGGGATGGGGAGGGACTAAATCTGTGACACTCCTTTGAAGCTAAATGTAGGACTTCTATTTGTACACTGGCAGATGGATGGTAAAGATATTCAGTCCATTAACCTGGTTGCAGGCCAATTGGAAAGAGAGATCATTTGAACATTTTAGGAGAAGGATGGAGGCAAGAGTTATTTCTGAAGTTTTAGTTAGGAAAGGTAGTTGTCAATTCTCTACTTTGACTTTGGAAATACAAACAATGGTTCCATGACTAATCGCATTTAAACTTCCAGTTTGCGGAATGCACATTACCTTGGTGGGGAACAGAGATTTGGGAGATTAAAGTACTTTGCAATCTCAGTGTCCTGTTGTGAAAATGAAACAAAATAGCACTATATAAATCCATCTAAGAATCATATTGCCTTTTATTTTTTAGCCCCTCGATTTGCAATTTTTTCCTTCATCCTACTTTCTAGTTTTTCAGCTATGTGTATATACATATATAAATATATATAAGTATATATAGCCCTGGCTGGTGTGGCTCAGTGCATTGAGTTCCAGCCTGCAAACCAAAGGGTCGCCGGTTCGATTCCCAGTCAGGGCACATGGCTGGGTTGCGGGCCAGCTTCCCAGTAGGGGGCGCACAAGAGGCAACCACACATGGATGTTTCCCTCCCTTCCTCCCTCCCCCACTCTAAAAATAAATAAATACCTTTAAAAATAAATAAAATCAATATATAAGTATATATATTTATATAAACACACAGAAATATATATTTCCTGTAATAGAGCTTTGAAAACTTCTCTTTGAGTTGGGGAGCAGGCTATAAGGCATAACAGGTATGAAAACTTACACACACTAGCTCAGATTTTGCCTTGTACATTTTTGGCCTAAGTCACTTCCTGTTTTCCCAGTCTAAATTTCCTCACCTCTGACACCCTGAGTGTCCCCAGACCTCTTTAAAGGCCCTCTAGGGAAGTCTGAACCACCAGCCCCAGTTGCTGGTGGTTAGCACACTCCTCCGCAGGGCATGACCTAGGGAGGGCAAAGACAAAGAGACTTGGGTCTTGGAGCTGTGGAGCTAGTGGATTTCCTTAGGCTGATACCTTATGGAAGGGAGTGCTTGCTTGACCATGGAAAGACGGCATTTGCGAGAAGTGTGACTGAAGGACTCAGCACAGGGACCTCTGGTGGCTGTCCCTTTAGCCTTCTCCCAGAAGCCACAAAACCCTCTGAGCTGCTTTCCCTCCATGAGAGCCAAGGATGAGTGGCCTCAAATGAGATTTTTGTGCATTAACCTTTGAAGAGGACGCCTGGGCGTCTAGTTGACTTCCCTCTTTCCCCAGTTGACAGAATTTCTGTTAAGTTTCACAGCCAGATGTCATGTGGGGTCCTCTTCCTGGTTTTGGTGCTCCGGGCTGGGGAGCCTGGCATGAGGTAGAGACCCCACGCTCCTCAGGGGGAACCTTTGCAATTGAGATATCTTTCCAGATTCTCAGCTGCCACATGCAGGCGTGGGGTCAGCCCTTTTTGAGTCTCGACCCTTCCTACTAGTCTCAATGTGGCTTCTGTAAATCCTTAGTTATAAGACTTCTGTTTGGCTAGTTTCCCGTTGGTTATTCAAGTTGATTGCTCTATAATTTAGCAGTAATTCTGGTTTGGTCCTAAGAGGAGGTAAATGCAACTTCTACCTACTCCACCGCCATCTTGGATCCCTAAAACATGTCTAAACCTCCTAGTGGTACACAAAAAAGGTGTTTAGCAGTTGATGAACTCTTTCCAATGATACCAATTGTTGCCAAGTTGAGGAAAAACCCCAACATCTTTGTTTCCCACCACCTCTTTTCTTCCTGTTTAGAGGGATCATACATATAAAGTGTCTCCCCTTTCTTATAGATTACACTAATCGCGACTTATTAAGCAATCTTCTTTCTCACATATCTAGCCTCTTTGTTACTCTCTCTTGTAACATTCCGGTCTAGCAGCAATACAAAGCTATCTCCACATGAGTCAAAATATGAGCCTCATCATGAATGATAAATTTAATAGTTGTATTAGGAATATACTTTGTCAAAGAAGATGAAAGAAACACTTTGAAGTCAAGTAAGGTAATAAAGAATCAATGTCTTTCCCTTCTAGACTTGTCGAAAGCTCGCAAAATGACTTTCAAAAAGTTGCACTTCCTTATTCTCTAATAAAATCTCTTTCCACTGGTTCAACATGAGCATTTAAAAAGCTTTCTAAGTTTCCATCACTTACTGCGTTGCTTTGATGGCATCACAACAAGGTTGTGTATCGTCCAAGTTGCATGTATATGGCATTCTGGCCATAGTGCAGATTTGAAGAGTGTTTTTTTCAATCTGGCTTTTAATCTGTATTAGCAGAAGAGACAATCTGTGATAATAAAACCACACCAAAATAGCAGTGGTTTAATTTACTCAAGGCTGGTTTTCACTCTCCCAGTTCAGTGAAATTACAAAGGGATGGGGGAGGTGTGTGGGTGTATTTTCCTCTCCACACTCGTCCAAGGTTCCAGGCCTCCTAACCTGAGAGCTCTGCCTCCTCTAAGCCTTGAGACCAGGGTTTCTCAATGCCAGCAGTGCTAGTATTTGGGCCAGATAATTCTTTGTTGTAGGGAGCTGTCTCAGGCATTATAGAATATTTACCAGCATCCCTGCTCTCTGTCCACTAGATCCTAGAAGTACACCCCCTACACTCTCATTGTGACAAATAAAAATGATGTCTGCAGATTTGCCAAGTGTCTCCCTCAGGCATAAGAGTCATCCCTCCCCACACTGAGAACCACTGACCTGCTCAAAAAACATTATTCATCAGAGATTGTGTGTCCTATTTATTCCTGGGAAACTCATTTGTTTACTTCAAAAGTTTTTTTATGATTATATTTATTTTTAAAAAGATTTTATTCATTTATTTTTAGAGAGAGGGGAAGGGAAGGAGAAAGAGGAGGGAAACATCCATGTGTGGTTGCCTCTCATGTGCCCCCACTGGGGACCTGGCCCACAACCCAGGCATATGTCCTGGCTGAGAATCGAACCGGCGACCCTTTGCTTTGCAGGCCAGTACTCAATGCACTGAGCCACACAAGCCAGGGCTAAAAGCTTTTTAAAAAAATATTGAATAAAGTTACCTTTGCTGATCTAGTACGCATGGACATGATCACAATTGCTGTTGGACAAAAGGTGCTTTAGCTAAAATGTCCCTTAATTATTATCTTCTCATAAAAAGCAAGTGCCCTAGCTGCCTACCTTGAAATACTTCACAAGCATTTCCGAACCATTCCATTGGCCACCGGAACAATTTCCGTCCATGAATCGCATTCGAAGTATTTAAAAGTCTGGGAGTACTTCCAGACCTCAGTAGGTACCACTTGATATTCATTCCCTCTCCCTTTAGGAATCCGCCATCCTATCAGCTTCTCTGCAATGGAAGGCAATAGTCTATGCACAAAACCACTCCACAAGTGAGAACAAATCCCATGAGACTATAAAAATGGCTCTTATAAGCCAAACGTTGAGACCCCAAATAATTACTTATATTATTACTCTAATTACCCTGAAACAGTACTACCTTGCATTCTCACTGATGTACAGCTGCTAAAAAGTAACCAAAGGCAGACCTATGTCTTCTGTATGTACCTGTCAACATTTAGTGGTTGCTTAGGAAATAGTAGTATAATGCAACTGATAATGTATTTTCAAACGAGTGTTTTGTTTGGCTAAGTAAAAATATTACACGCACGCACACACACACACACACACACACACATACACGCACACAATTTAGGCCCCGGCTGGGTAGCTCAGTCAGTTAGAGTGCTGACTCGACACGCCATGGTCTCAGGCTGGATTCCTTGGTCAGGGCACTTACAAGAATCCACCAATGAATGCATAGATAAGTGAACAACAAATTGATGTGCACGCGTGTGCGTGCGTGTGTGTGTCTGTGTGTGTGTGTGTGTCTCTCCCTGCCTTTCCTCCTAAAATCAATAAATTAAAAAAAATATTATAAATGCCAGTAGAAACAATAAATCCAACTGTGAAAAATTACAACAAAGAATGATCAAATAATAATGAGCATATAAGCAAAAGTAATAACACTAATAATGTTAGGCCCCAAGTGTGGGACACACGGGAAGAAACACCATTCCAGAGGAGGAGAAGGAATAATTATAACAGTTTATCTCGCCCAGAGTCCTGGGGAAATCTCGCCAACAGTTATCATTAGATCCTGGATATCTCTGTTGCAGGCCACCCACGCACTTGGTAGGTTGGAGTCCTTAATTAGAACCTAATGGCTCCATTTATCATTTGGAAACCATTTTCTAACAACCATCTATTTCATTTTTACCTGTGCACAAAAAAAATGTGCCCTCTTTTCCCTCCTTCCTCCATCTTTCATGATGTGACCTAAGCGAGGAGGCATCAAAAGATGTTACCACTGAGATAATCACAGTAAGATGAAGGAAGCTTTATACTTAACACAATGAATCTGGACATTTCAGTAGTGGGGAAATTTACAAAGGTGAAGGCTGTAGCTGGGTGAGGTCCATGGCTCATCATAACGTTTGAAATTAGAGGGAAAAGAAACCTACCAAATTTTATGGTTTTATAATGTAAGCAGATCATGTGTTGGGTTCAAGGAGGAATCGCCCCAACCTGAAAAGGTCATGTTCGCCATAGGGAAGGGAGCACGCTAGGGGTGGAAGCGAGGGAGTCTTTGCCAGTTTGCCTGGGACTGTCTCCCAGATGCCCTGTAGTGGGCAGTGAATCCCAAAA